CTCTTGTTCAATAATTGGCCATCTTTACAGTGCTCTCCTTTTTTCAGAAAAGAGGATCTATTACAGGACTCTCTACTGCCAAGTTATTAATGCTTAAGACAAAGTAAGCATTGATGAGATCTAGCAAACTGGTAATGTAAATGTGCAGCTGAATGATACTACATGTACATTCAAATCAGACAAATATTCAGGGCGTTAAGGAATCAAGGTAAGGGAAGTGTAAAATATACCCAAATAGAGACTGCGAACTAAGGAAAACTTATGTGTCCCTTGAGACAACAATGCAAAAGTAAATTTACATATACTGTTCTCTAAAAAGACTAGGCAAGCAAAACTCGAAAGTGCTATTTAAGGCCAGCAGGGGGGATGGGTACTCCCTATGTAGGTGAATGGGGATGTGCCACTGGATGGGGTCTCATTTTCATGACTGGATTGATTATTATGGGGTTGCATTTTCAATAGAGTTGCTAGAATGGGGTCGCACATTTTTTTTGTATTTTGGGGGTAAGTAAGTTCTGGTAAGTAGGAATATAAAGAGCAGTTCCCAATGGAAAGAGCGAAGTCAGCAAGCTTCACTTTAAAATTATAAACAGGTGAACGTTATAGAGATTGTGTTTGTGAAAAATAGTGACTTGGATATAGGCGTTCTCCAAAAGTATATTAATGTGCTATCCAAACGTGCATTGTTGCCCATCTGCATCGTGCATTGTTGCCCAAGTCATTATCTCCCTTTTAGCTACTGGTCAAGTCTTCAATATGCTTATTCCTTATCATTTCGAACTCTTTAAAGACTGGTGTGTTGGTTCTGAGTACAGAATTTTGCTGTCTAGAATAAAAGGGCAAACCACGATACACAACGCCACGTTTGTTGCTGCGATAAAAAAAAACAAAACTTTCTCCTACCCAGTAGAATATCCAAAAGCCCAAAGACAATAGGTACCAAAGAAATCTCTGGGGAGTGGGAAAGAAGCAATTTCTTAGTATTTTCAAAGGGCCACTTGCCTTACCTACCCTGCAAGGGAGTTCATATAAGCCCTCAGCCACCTCAACAAGAAGTCAACAGAGTTAACAATGAAAAGTTTGACAGATTTCAGTTACAGTCTTCTAGTATGTCATCATACTGTGTCCAGCTGACGAAAATATTACACATAATACTGACATCTGAAGGCCATGTTTTCTTTCAGGAACTAGCATTTCACTCACTTGGAGTACCTTTCCCAATATTCTAACCTCAATAGTCCTCCGTCCTATGGACTTCACTCTAAAAATGGGAAGATTCACACTGAAAACATTGTTCCTGTTCTCAATTCAGTTTAGAAAATGTGTCACTTGTGTGGAAACTGGTTTAGAGGTAGATGCATAAACAGAAAGTGACTAAGTTGCAATTCAACATATTACGTTTAATAACACTAATAACGGTTTTATTAGTAAATCCAGTGGCAGATCTAGGGGAGGGGCTGGGGGGGCTGCCCCCCCCCCCTTATTTTGGGTAAAAAAAGAAATCACAGAAGGAAGAGAAGATCTTGAAACAATACTAAGATTTATTTCCGGGCTCCCCAAAGTCGCCTTGGCTTTTACGTCAGGAGGAATCTTTGTATCCGGTGCGACTTCCAAGCGATATTTCCTTAACATTCGTGCTAACACCAGCCTTATCTGCATTTTCGCAAAGCGCATTCCTATACAGCTGTGTGGTCCGTGACCAAACGGCAAGAAACTGTAAGGATTGCGTGACTGTTTGGCTGAAGGTGCAAAGCGCTCTGGGTCAAACTTCTCCGGGTCTGGAAAAACCGCGGGGTCTCTTTGTATACTGTAAACAGGAATGAGAATGGGGGAATCTTTGGGTATCTTAATGTCTTTGATGGCACATGCTTTAGTACAGCCGCGGGATATCATGAATCCTGAAATAATAAAATGGTAAGATTAGCCGATACAGAGCTTCAAACCTGCTCTCTACAATCTTTCTTCTTCCGGATGCCACTCCCCCCCTTCCCCTCCCCCCGCTCCCCGCACTCCCCTTAGCAAAATGCATATGATTATCCAATGATCGCAAACACACAGAAAATGAAGATATTACTCAAAGAACACTAAGTTTTAAATTGAAAATGGCGATTATGGTGTCTGAGGGCAAAGTTGTAACTTGCCTGTTCCAGGCGCTTGGTTAGTTGGAGAGCCGTATGTATAGAACGGGGAACGAGTGGAAAAAAGGCGATAGGTTTGGTTCTTCTATCCCTCTCTCTCCTCCTTCCCCTTTCACTCGTCTCTACAAACCGAGAGCCTGGAACAGGCTAAGTTAGGTTCACATTTGGGTCACGCGCGAAGCATCAGGAGAAAAACTGGAGCGAGCGAAACGAGCTGAGGTGGAAACAAGGCAGCGAGAAAACTCGCTAGTGGGAAAGCAGGAACTTTAGAAGGTACGATCCCCGTTGGCTCTGGCTCTCTGGCTCACCGATCCGTTCTCTTGTGTGAGCATGCTGACGGATTACCAAACGGTTGTAATAGTAACAGCTTGAAGGTATGTATTAACACCCCAACAACAGTGTATTTATCCCCAACTTCCTTACCTGGCGGGTAGAGCCGGAGTGTCTCGGATATCACCANTTACCAAACGGTTGTAATAGTAACAGCTTGAAGGTATGTATTAACACCCCAACAACAGTGTATTTATCCCCAACTTCCTTACCTGGCGGGTAGAGCCGGAGTGTCTCGGATATCACCATGTCAAGGTATGGCAGCTCATTTACTGTTTCATAAGTCGGCACCTGTTCCTCCTCAGTCCACACACTGTCAATTTCTTGCTGCAGTTTGTCTTGAACGTCAGGGTTTGTGGCGATGTGGTAACACGTCAGACTCAGGGTTCCACTGCTCGTTTCATATCCAGCAGCAAGAAAAATAATGCTCTGTGCAAGGACTTCCGTGTCTGACAGCTTCTTTGACTCAGGGACAGAGGGGTCATCTGAGGCTGCCAGCATCAAATCCAACATGTCCTAAGAAGGGAAGGTTCAATGAATAATGATGATTCAATGAATAATATTTTGTATTTCTCTTCTTCTCCATTTCTCCAAACTACGATTCAACAGACCTTTCTTGAAGAGCCTCCATTTCCTGCCTTCTTCGCGGAAATAATTTTCTCTGTCATCTTGAGTAATGGTGTAGCATTTGAAAGCCAAATGCTTGGGAATTTTTCCATGAGTTTAATTCCAAATGGCAGAAGTGAGCCAAGCAGGATTTTCTTTGAAAAACTTTGTTTCAAAGCCTGACGAGCCGCGCTGATGAACGGGTCGTCAGGATTGTCTTGAGAGTTGGCTTGAAGACCAAATACTGCTGAAAGAATTAGGTCCATTGTAAGAGCCTGTTGAAACCTGCAAAAGTAGTAGAAGTAGGTAATATTAAAACATATTATGTCTCCTTGAGCAAATAACGGGAATAAAGGATTGTATCACACCAGAAGCATATCGCCTAGACTAGGTGATATGCTTCTGCTCCGAACACATAAACAGAATTTAGACGCTTCTAGGTCATGTGCTTCTGATCACACTTGAAAACAAGTCTTAACGGTAATTACTGACAAATTCTCAATCAGTTTAGAACATTCATTTATACACAATATTTCACAAAATCGTTCACAATTCTTAAATTAGGAGCAGGACTATAGGTCTGCTCAGAATGGCAGCTGAGTCTGTCATCAGATGGTTCACCACATTAAGTATTTTTTTTAGTTTCCATTTCCAGCACAGTTGCATTGACCCTCGCTTTATGGTGCCTCGGGCACATGTTGCGGACCTTTTTTTGATGTTATGTGGCCGTGGTTTTGAACTCAGCCTGCGAATGCAGACGCATTTCCTGCTGTCGCTTGTCTACGCCGAAAAAGAACAACAGCCGTAAATACGTCTGCGTTCGCAGGCTATTTTGAGGCGTAAGCAGTTCCAATAGTCCCCCTCACGAAGTACATGTAAACAAAGCTCGACTGGCACGTATGGAACCAGGAGATTGGGGCGGGGTTCTTTGTTCAGTTCAGAAAAGTCGTG